GTGTGTGTGTGTGTGTGTGTGTGTGTGTGTGTGTGTGTATGTATGTATGTATGTATGTATGTACAAAAATGCAACACAAATGTAACCAAGACAATAATGGCTTTCTGTCGTGATGGACTCTTGTGACGAGCCGATTGACAGAAGATGGAAGCAGTTAGCTTCCTCCCATAATTGGGGCTTACCAGGAGTTGTAAAAATCTAGATATATATATGTTCATCTAAAGTGCTAAAGTCCATGACTTCAATTCCTGGCAGAGAATTTGAACTCCATAGAATAACAAAATCTGGCTACCAGCATCTGAACTAATATGATGCCTTCTAGTGGTCACTTTAACTGATATTCCATGCTGGCTTTGTGTTGTTCCCAAAGATAGAAGGATATTCCTCATTCTGTTGAGGAAGGTTATGTAGGAATAGTTGCACTTGCCTGAATTCCAGCTATATTTACAAAAATATTTGATTTCTCCAGTGATGGGCTTCTCTTGCTTCCGCTTCTGGTTTTAGATAGATAATAAGGTTGTTTTTTTTAATAAAAAAAAATATCACTCTACATACTGGACATGGTCCTTCTTAACCATTAGCTCCCACATTTTCTTTTCTTACACCTACTTTTAATTCCCCCTAATTCCCGCCTCAGTTCCCCCAATTGTCACAAGTGAAAGAGCAAACCTTGTCTGAGCTACTATCTCTTGTGCATGAGCTGTGTTGTTTTAAGAAAACATGAAAGGACTGTAGAAAGATGGTGATGATTGCTGTTCAAAATACTTGCTTCAGAGCAGTAGCCTCTGTAAATCTGACATTTAAAGCCAGAGGTGGAAATAGGGCCCTTCTAGGTCTTGCTTGATGTCAGCTCCCATCAAAACCAAGTAGTATAGGCAGACATCAGGTGGGTGGAAGTTATCTATTGAACGTGAAGTATCTTCAAGCTCAAAAATCACAGCAAAGAATCCATCTTCTTGTTTTAGAATTACCTTATGTATAAGATTGCACTTAATTTTTATACATTGTGCTATCCATCAGATTTTGACTATGTAACATCTATGGTTCATAATCTCCATGCCATAGCTACAAATAATTTATCTAAGAATAACACAGCCCAGCTCTTTCACTTTCAAACAGGGGAACTGTCCTCTCAGTATCAGCCACATTACTCAACAGAATAGTCAATTTAAAACAAGCCTTAAATAATATTTGTAGACAGCAAACTGACAAGGAACAATAATTTGATGATGGATGAGCAGCTCCAATTTCAAGTAAGTAGGAATATACTTGTTGTTAAGAATAGCCAAGAAAACCTCACCCTTTGGAATACCAGGTCTTGTCTGCAACACGATGCAAAAGAAGATTAGAATAACCTTTTTAATACCTTTTTTATACCTATCTCAGGCATCAAAGCCTCCTCAAACTGTTTTTGCATTGAGTTGTTGGCAGCATACAGAGTTAATTAAATGTGAACTCCCCAATCTCTTCTAATTTAAATTAATTTGGAATAGCTACCATTCAGTTTGTATTTTACTTTTGAATTTGTTATTATTTACTATAAGGAATGGGCATTAAGATTCAACCAGTTTTATGAATAGATTTCTACATGTGATTGATAGTAGATAAGGATTTAAACCAAGTATTCAAAACTTGAAGTTTAACAGTATGCTTTATTTTACTTTATTCTGATTAAATTAAAAATTAGATTAATAAGGAACTTTATATGAAAGAACTATAAATTGTATTACATTTTAATTCTGTTTGCACCACATTTACAAGTTTGTAGAACTATAACAGTTGAATGAAAAGCAATGTTTCCATTTTTCTAACTTTAGTTTAAATAAAGATGTGTTGATTAATGAAACAGGAAAATACCCCTCAAAATTTTCTACAGAAACTAACATTTACTATGCACCTCTGTCAATAATGGGCAAGCTTCCTAAAACCATCACAAAAGAAGTTAACATTTATCTCTTCAACCAAGTCCAGATTTTACCCCTTCAAGGCAAAAAGAAGCCCATGATGGTGTTGGTCCACTTTTGAGAAAAGGTGTAAATCACACGCAACGTAGCATTTTGAATTGATAATAATGCCAAGTTTTTTTTTTAAAAGAACTATGTGAAACGCTATCTGCATCCCAGAAATTGGCAATTTTGTGTTTTCTTGCCAAAATCTGGCTTTTGAATTTGAGTGATTGTCCTTAATCAGACCATTAGCCCTATCTATGTAATACTTGATGGTTGCTTTCACAGGTCACTTACTTCATTTTTGATCATACAAATCAGCTGTTCCTAATTCATTATTATTATTTTTACATTTTTTTATGGCCAGCAATGCATAGTATATCAACTTAGTCTTCACCATAGATAATCTGCATTGAGCAATCAAACCTCATTTAGCAATAGAGCACTGATGAGTAAACACTGCATGCTTTCATTTCATGAACAGGACAAACTTTTCTCAGAGCAATTTCCAGCAATGGAATGTTCACAGCAACAAAAGAACAAATTCTAGAGAACAGATCAGAGCTTTTCAGCACTTAAGTCCATCAGTAATCGCAACTTAAAATGTTGGATGCATTGCTTCTCATTCCACCATTGTAATTAATGCCATTAAAATGCATGAGTGTATAGAATGAGGGAAAAAAGTAAAAGTAAAAATAATATCTTTATGATAACAACTCAGCTTTTCAAAAATAATTTGAAGGCTTTTGATGCACAAGAATTGATTACAAGACCAAAGGAAAAACAAACAACAATGACTAAGTGACAAGAACCAGGCATTCTGCATAAGTCAGAATTAAAATCTGGACTGAAAATTATATTTTACAATCTGCACCCTGATAGTTTTTAGTTCAAATTGAGCTCTGCTCATTTTTTTTAAAGATAAGAGAACGACTGCTCAAGGATGGGAAACACATTTGTCTTAGAGAACTCCTGCTGGGAACTCCGGCGCAGGGATAATATTTCCAGGAAAAAAAGCTTTGTAATAGTGGCAACAAATTGAAAGATATACCAATGCCAGGGCCACAAATCACTGAGGAGTCTATGTCACTACCTGTATTTTGTTTTACATGTATTGAAGAGCAGCATATAGATGCTTATTTCCTTCCCTTGTTTACAGGAACAAGCTCCTTGGGCCAGTGAGCCTCCAGTCAGCACAGACTGGTACTCATGGGACTCTGAGACAGTCCCATCAGACCTGCCAGAGTTATGTGAAAAGAAGGCTATCCGCATGGTGGCACGTATCTATCTTCCAATCATGGTTGTCCTGTTCTGTGTTCTGGGCTTTCTTGGCAATGGGATTTTGCTGTTAGTTCGTGCCCGTTACCATCGAGTCCAATTCCTTGGTGACATCCTCCTCTTACATCTGGCTATCTCGGACTTGCTGCTTCTCTTGACTCTACCAGTGGGCGTGGCTGGGATGATGGGCACTTGGTACTTGGGAATGACTGCGTGCCAGGTTCTGCAAGGCTTTCATGCCCTGACCTTTTACAGTGGCTTTCTTTTCCTCATGAGTCTTACCCTGGACCGCTACATAACCATAGTGTGGATACCCATTGCCCGCCGCATGCGCCCCTCTGCCAGTTTCTGGGGCAAGCTTTGCTCTGGGTTGATGTGGCTATTCTCAGCAGCTCTAGCAGTGCCCAATGTCATGTATGCTCATGTGGAGGACTACAAGGGCTTTCACCTCTGCAGGGTGACTGTTGTTAGAACTACTGTTTGCTTAGTGCAAGTGGGCTTTGGTTTTGTGTTACCATTCGCTATCATGGTAATCTGCTATGCAGCCATCACACGTACTATTTGGTCTTCTCCTTATGCCCAGTCACACAAGGCCTTGTGGCTCATTTTGGCCCTGGTATTGCTGTTTTTGGTTTTGCAACTCCCTTATGCCCTACTCACCTTATTAGATACAGCAGATTTGATAGGCCAGCAGGCATCAAGCTGCACAGTAAGCCTTCAGCGTGATCTTGCCCTCCTCATTACCAGTGGCTTGGTTTTTGCTCGCTGCTGCCTAAATCCTGTGCTTCATACTTTCCTGGGGGTGCGGTTCCGTAACGACCTGCAAAGGTTAAGTAGGGAGTTTGGCTGCCTGGGGCATTGGGCATGCTGCAATGATAGACCCAGGAGTGGTAGCCGTTGTGCTTCATTTACTACCCATCTGGAAGGACTATCAAGAACCCCATGAAAACATCAGCACTGCCCACCTCAAAAGAATCTTGGCATTCTGGAAGCCTGGCTTTTGCATTCAGGGAAGTGTGCAACTTTAACATGGTATCTGCAATTTTTGACAATAAAGCTTCAATTTTGGATAATGCTAAAACTTGTGTTTTATTTGTTTTTACATTTACTACTACTTGTGTACTGGGCAAGTTATTTGGTCTGTGTGTCTGAATGTATAGAATGGGAATAATCCACAAATGAGACAATTAGCAGTTCTGGCCAATCCTGGATCCAGATTGGAGAGTATCTTTTGTAGCTCAAGCCCATGTGGTTAGTACCAATGGATCTGGGAAGGAGGAAGAAGATTATGTCCTGTTGAGCATATAAAGGAGAGATTTATAGAACTACAGTGTGTATTAGCCCATGAAATTAGTTCTTGGACCCAGATTCAATTCTGCCTTCAGCAATGGAGATTCACAGGGTAAGTTTGAGCCAGCTACCCTCTCTCAGTAAAAACTACTTCATGGGATTTTTGTGGGGAGAAATAGAATTGGGGGGGGTTGTATGAAATTATCAAATAAATACCTCCTAATTTTCTTCCCCTGGCCGTATTCTATTATTCCCCTCCTAAAGAGAACTCAAGGAACATGGTGGCTCAGTGGCTAAGACGCTGATCTTGTCGATCAGAAAGGTCGGCAATTCAGCGGTTTGAATCCCTAACGCTGGATAATGGAGTGAGCTCCCGTTACTTGTCCCAGTTTCTGCCAACCTAGCAGTTCAAAAGCAGGTAAAATGCAAGTAGAAAAATAGGGACCACCTTTGGTGGGAAGGTAACAGCATTCTGTGCTCCTTCAGCATTTAGTCATGTAGGTCATATGACCATGGAGACATATTCGGACAGCATTGACTCTTCGGCTTAGAAACAGAGATGAGCACCGCCCCCTAGAGTCGGGAATGACTAGCACATATGTGCAAGGGGAACCTTTATCTTTAAAGAGAACTCAAGTAACTTTGATTTTTTTAATTCAATGGTAAATAAAACTAGTAATTAAATAATACACATTTTATTTAAATTCTAAACTCATTCTAGCTCTTGTTAAAGAGGAAATTTAATATGATGAACATCTCTAGTACGTTAATGGTATGTACCATCATCTGACCCTTTGTAGTGCTCAGACCTTTGTATGTGTTCTGGTGCTATAAATGTCTTTAAAATGGGTCACCTGCTTTTGTTGATTTAGGAAAGAAAGTTTACAATATTTATATTTCTTAAATCAGGAAAGTAATGGGCAAAGAGTTATGTGCATTCTGCAAAAAATTAGTTGAGGACAGGAATGATAGGAATTTCCGGTTGAGAATGTGCTGTTATAATTAATGTAGGCAGTTTTCCAAGGACACAGTACAATTCATGGAAAATAAGACCATGAGATTAAGGATCTCTGATATTACCATGAGCTTATTTTTCAATTAGCTACCCATAAGAGAGCAAGATGCTGTTCCTGCGCATGTCTGATGATTACTGCGGGGATAATGTTGCATTTTGTCAGACAGAACACAGCTCTTCTTAGATTTTGCTTGTTTCTTTAATTCTTTAAGAAATAAAATGTTTTTTTATTAAAAATCTATAGAGTAATCAATAAAGGGTTTAATTTCTCTATATTTCTTTCCAGTTGGCAGAGGTAGGTTTTCCACACTTTAGTTTTTGTTTATTTTGGCAAAACATGGGATATGATCTTGGTCAGAAATGTGCCTATTGGTAGGCTTGCTTGGCATGTGTGCTTTCAGACCCAAATCAGAGCACAAATGCTACATAATTATTTAAAATATTCCTTTCCTTTCCTTATCTAATCATAGCTCAGGGTGTCTTCCACACACAGATTATTAGTTTATGGTTAGCTAGATGTTTTCTGGAAAAATAAGGTAAGATGTAAGAGCAGCTGCACAGCAGATGGGATTCCTTCTGAAAAAAAGAAAAGGAGCTGAGAAAATTAAGATCTATAGCTCACGCAGAAATGCTGTGAGCCCCACAGAACCAGTATGCCTCTGGTGTTTTGATTTCTTTTCTTTTTTTTAATAAGCAGACAGTCACAAGTCCCCACAAAGTCAGTAGGATTCAGTCTGGCAGCAAAAGAAGCCGCAAACTGAAGAAGCACCTTCAACTCATAGTTCAAGTAAACATGTTCCTTTTGAGGTAAAAGGGCAGAAAATGTCTCCTCTCAGAAGCAGAGTGTCGACTTCAAACTGCACCTGGCCTGCTTCATTGCCCACTGTTTTACAGCCTATATAATGAAAAGTGATAGATGTGTGCCAAAATAGCACAGTTCTGCTGCCTGCCTCACAGTATTTAGTCATTGTTTCTCTGCTCTTGGATATTAATAAATAGGACTTACATGTGAGGTGAAAGTTTTCCTGTTATGAGTTATTTTGTGCGCCAAAAAGCATGGTAAAGAGTAGAAACGAATGGATAGTTTCAGTCTCAGCTCTGCTTTTTATCTCTATTTTTCTCCTCTTCCTTTGCCCTCCCTACATGAGCCAAACGACTCTCTTAATTACATCAACTTCAGAAAAACTAAGATATAATTTACTTCTTGTTCAAATAATGTTCACCAAGAGGTAGGGCAAAAGACCTTATTCTAGGTAACCATAACATGAGAGGGTGGGAGAATCACTAACTGGGTACAAATGAGGAAAGGTTAAAAGACACCCAGAACCTGAAACCATCACAGTATAAACTTATAAATGTGAACACGGTACTATTGGAATTAACCCTTCTGTGTGCATGGGATTGTTTAGTCCAATAAAAACCAGTGATGAGATTTGCCAGATGAGCTGTTGAGGAGGGAACAAAACTGAGCCAATACGTACTATCATAATTTGTTTTCTCTCTGGAGTCTGCAGAGTATTCTTTCTGGACCCTCTCCATTCTCTTGGTATTATGTGATCATTGCTGTGTAGTGTTGTTGTGTAAAAGGCATTAGTCAGGTCTGGGAAGCTTAAGAAATGAGAGTCTTATGCAGATATAATTCATTTTCTGGGCCTACTTGATGCTGAACTGAGCTCCTTGCAACTGCTACAGAAGCATCATCACCATCCTCCATAATAGAACGTTTTCTTTCTGTAGATAGAATAAGGAAACTTGGTTTAGGGGTGTACAAAGATTCCCAAGGAAAACATTCAGTGTTCTGGAATTTAATGCCAAACTCAAAACAAAATATTTTGTGTTTGTCCAGAACTTACAACCAAATGGTACGTTTCATTTCATTTCACTGTTTTGAGTATTCCAAATTCCTGTGATTCCTTTCTTTTTAATTTTTCCCTGGAGATTCATTAAGCAAAAGAAAACCAGGCAGGATTCCAACCTCACGGACATTGGCTTGAACTAATGAAGGGGAGAGGTGAATGATAACCAGACTACATTTTAAATACTTAAAAAGCATTATACTGCAAACAGTTTGACAAAAGATTGTTACTTCCCACTCAAGTGAATTTGTTTATTTGAAAGTTTAAGTGTTACAGTGTATGCATTGCATTACAAGTATGCAATCACTTGCATTATAGGTATTACACTGTTGAGCTTTCAGATTGCAAATGGTGGAGTTACGTTGCTTTGTTGAGTTTTGCAGATGATTTCTCAAGTGGAAATTGTGCATTTTAATTGTGCATTAAAGATATTGCTGTGTAGTTGTACTTCACATCGATAAAGGAATAAATTTGCTCCTTTGTTGGTTCTTGTAGGCTGAGATATTAGTTTTGCTGTTATGGTAATTATTCATGGATTGTGTTAAAATGAAACAATCCATTATTTGGTGTTATTTATTTATTCGTTAGATTTTTACATAATAAATCCTTCTCCTCCTATATTCCCCATAACAGCAGCCCTATGAACGGATTGGAAGGAAAGAGAGTGACTAGCCCAAATTCATGCAGCTAGCTTTCATAGCTAAAGTGGGACTAGAGCTCACAGTCTCCTTTACTGCTAGATTAGCATTTTAACTATAATACCAATCTAGCTCTCAAGGTTGCCTGTTCTTTGCTGGGCTCACTTCTATGACTGTTTATACAGACAAGTCAAACCGTAAAAGATGCACTTAGATCTTGTTTTCATTGTTTGCTATAGGATTTTTTTTTTAAATCACACATTTTTAGGCTGATAGATGGCATTCATCAAGGACTGCTACCTTACCTAACTTTATAGCCATAATGTAAAAAACAAGGAAATAATTATCAGGGTTTGTTTTTTAAAATTTTCACTGCTTTCTAAAAGGAAAATAGTCAAGTTTGTTGTAGTTTTCTTCTACTGGAATACAAGAATACACTACAACAACTAAAGCAATTTTCTAAAGGGGGGGTTTCAAGGTTTCACACATTTGTTCTGTTTCATACATATCTCTGATTCAATTCCATGCATGCAGAGAATTGTGCATACTTCCTGCAATGGTAAATTTTAAAGTATTGTAATTTGTATTGTAAGACAGGCTGCCATCATCACAAAATAGATTCCACTATGATTGATTGTGATGGAGGAATTGATAGCCCATGATTGGCTAAAAGCTGTAAGATTTCCACAGAGGCTAAGTCTGGGTATATCCATGTGCATATTTTGGGGGTATTCTGTAGTGGCATTTTTAAAAAAATTCCTAAGTTATGTATAGATGTGCGTAAGAAAACATGCTCTATATTACACTTTTCCATCAAACACATCTTAGGTAGAATATGATTGAAAGTCAACATGCCAGATTGCAAACTGGAAATGATCCAACTGTATTTTGTATAATTACAAAAACAATTTAGAACATTTAAGTTTCTTCTATTGATACATCAAATATATAAGCTGAGGGGGGTACTTCATTTCTTTGATCTTTACATTTTTAGAGGAAGTTCATATCTGTTTAATTAATAGGTTTAAACTAATTTGCTTTTTAAAATTGATTTTTAATTATCCTCCATGAATCCTTAAAACTAGTAGAGTAAAATGTCAAAGACATGGTATGTCTGGAATGTAGAAGGATTGTTGTTTTCTAAAATCACCTGCAGGAGGCAGCAAACTATAAATCATGCCAATTATTTATTTTCGT